GATAGGGGTTTTCACTTAGTTTAGGTTTTCATTAGTTTTAATAGGAAAAGCATATTGTTTACTTGCACTATTGGTCTACTTGTTATTATTATGCGAATCCAAATATTAAACAGCATTTAATAATTTTTGCTTTACGAGAGAAAAATCCAAAGCAGGAGGTCATCTATTCTTTTATCTCTTTTTTTTTCTTTTAAGAATTACTATGAAGGAGATGAGACAATTTATGCCACTAAATCCACCCAGCAGCCCTCAGCAAGGCAGAAACCCTTGGGGGTCACACATAGGCTTAACCTAGTGAGCCTTGGACACACCCGGTAAGTTTATAGTAATCCACAAATTACACTACTTCTAGAGCCCATTGTGGTTGCAGTGTGGCCTTACACCATAGGCTTAGCCAGCGAGCCGTCCGCTCGTCTTTTGGACGGCCATCAATTGTTTGGGATGGCCACTTTTACCTTTTGACCTAATCAGCTCAGCCTAGCCTAATTGAGCTAGGTCTACCTTTAGCAAATTCTTTATATTCTTCAAATCTATCGAATAATATATTCAATAAAGCTATATCATATTTACGTTTTTTAAAAACAACCTTTATTGGTTGAATGTATATTGTTTTCATACCTATATTCGGTGGGGATTCCCAAAAATATGTTTGATGTACGGTACTATAGAAAATACAACTTAAAAACATTGGCTTTGATGTATTTACTTTTGCATTCAGAACCGTGAGTCCACACCCATCTCTACCCCACTATAACTTGGGCTGAGGTGATAAAATTCGGGGAAATAGTACAGTACCTCTAGATTGCCGGATATGCCACTCTTGTATAGTATAATTCATCATCATCGATCTAATACATTGCTGTGATATATTGTACCATAGAAAATAAATCTTAATTGTCTTTGATGTATTTACTTTACATGTGCCGAAAACCAATCTTATCTTTGCACCCTTTTTCTCATACTTTTCTAATTATAAAAAGGCATGCACACTCGAGTCATGTATTATAGGTAATTCAGATGATGTTTGTGGGCAGAGATACCGGTATATTGCAATAAAATATGATGTACCTTGTCATTTATGCAGTTTATTGCAACAATTTTCAGACAGCTTCTTGACTTAATATGAAATTGCATTGCAGACGAAAAGTGAGGGGACAAACCCCCTCCCCCTTAAAAATATGTCAAGGGTGGACATGTACCTAGCCCCCCCATGATCTGCACCCATGGGTGCATGAGAGTCAAATTTTCGCACCTGAGGGGTGAACATTTTGAGAATAAAAACCTTTGGGTGCCCAGAAAATGCACTTTCATACCTTAAAAACCTTAACAATAATTGTCAAAAATATAATACAATGATTATTTTTCTTAATAAAATTTAGGAATTAATGCCCTCCCTATAGTATTGTTTGAAGGTTTGCATGGCGAAGAGTATAACAATATATAAATTCTTGCGGTACACCACATAGATATCTACATGGTGTACCACAAGAATTATTATATACCGTTTATACTCGATATGAAATGTTATTGGACTGTGGAAGTTCAATAATAGTTGCAGTGATGACGTCACGATTGACTTATAATACAATTTATGAGATTGCGATTGCACCATCTGCACCCCTGCAGTATCCCCCCACCAGTTGCTTCTTCCACCTTAAGCCTGTTTTCCACTAGGCGAATCTGTTCTTGCGAAGCGAAAGCGTTGCTTCATGTGCATTCACATTCCTATCGGAGTTTTTGCGAAGTGAAAAAATGCGCAACCAATCAGAGCTCAGGAAGCTAACCGACGCTTTGATTTGTGCGAATAAATTCGCCTAGTGGAAAACCAGTTTTAGGACCCCTAAAGTTGCCGTGTTAATCTGAACCATAAAGTAAAAACTAAAACAGCAGTTACTTATACTAATACTTTACATAATTTATTCAACACTAAGCATTTGCAGTAACTTCTTCAGGATGCAATGTATCATATGAAAATATCTTAATCTCTTTATTAGCGCATAGTGGTTCCAGGATTTCCAAGTTCAAACATCTTATTGATTTCTACTCGTATGTTAATATGAAAGAAATGGTCTTCAATGGAGAATTTGGTTACGGAAACCAAAAAGAACAATTGGAGACAGGTATGTGCACCCACCCTCCCTATTCATGTGATACTGTAGTTTTTTTTGGGGAAGCATTGAGACCTTGTTTATTTGCGCTACAAGTCTGCCTGTTATTATTATGTGCAAATGCAAAAGAAAAACAAAGCAGTAGTAAGTAAGTTTTACTGTCAGGAGAAAAATCCCTGATATGTTTTTAGGTAAGAAAACTTATATTATTATTAGTAGGCCTATGCCTATATTTATGAAAATCTCACATACGTTTTCCGACTCCCGAGTCTCAGTTGGGTCAGCATGCATAGGGCAGGCCTCACCAACTGTAGTATTAATCGTACGTTTCATATAATGCATATAACTGAGCATCTAATCAAATATTACGGCTTTTAGGCTAATATTCAACACAAAACAAATTTCAGTGGGACGTGTGACGTAACTTTTAGTATAGAGTATGCGCAGACTGTAAGGTAAGGTTAACCAATCAGAAGTGGGAGCAGAAGCCAAATTAAAGCGCTTGGTAACCTAGATACTGCACACATTATCGTAGGCAGAGCATAGCAGCCCAGTGAAGTAGTTCAGTTTTCTTTTTGCTATAAAAATCACCTTCCCCGTGGGTGTATTTTAGTGAACTTTTTGTATGTTGTAGAGATAAAATTTAACTATATATATTCATGGAAAAACGTTTTGTTGCAATTACATCCAACTTTGGTGTTTCAAATCTGTATTTCTGGTTGATTAATATTTTTGCGAGTTAGCTCCCCCTCACTTAGTCATCGAGCCAGTACCCCCACTTCATCTTCGCCCCCCCCGTCAGGGCCCACAATTTCCAGTATCCTTGATTCTCACTGATCATAACTTTACCGATGTGAATATACAATATAAATTTATTAACAACAGTATGTATATTGATCAGATGATTTTTTGAGATGTCTTTTACATGTTAGTTATATGCATTAATCAATTTTTGTCGTTTCAGCAAAATATACCACAATCTATTTCAGAAGTTTTGCACGAAAGACAGAAAAATTCATTTATATACGAAAGCACAGTAAAGTCTATGGTGAGTAGAAGCAGGGCCTCGCTGGTTTCAGATGAAACAATTAAAAGCCAGCAAGTTGAGCAGAGTACCCAGTCCACATATGACAGCATGAATGATGAGTCTAATCTCAATAGCGCCCTCTATGATAGTCAGGAATGCAGTTGAAACATTGAATAGTAACAGTATAGAGGTAACAGAGCATCTTTTAATTTTTTTATGTTAATTTGCTTGAATTTTGTTTTACAATATTGTGAAGTCAGCCTATTGAAAGAGCATCTAAAAAAACAGTCAAAATAAAACATAAAAAATGACTTTGAATGTCATAGTAAGTATCTACTATTGCATGCTTAAAATCTCAATTCTGAATTGTGAATAAAAATAATAGTAAATAAACACAAAGAAACTATGATGAGGTTGTTTACTAAATCCTACCAGGTAGTGTGGCTTCATAGCTCAGTTGTTAGAGTAGTAATCTTAATAATAATATTATTTTTTTTATTTTTCTCATTCTAATTGTAAATTGTAAATTTGAACTAGGGGACCAATGACAGTGCAGTGTTAACTGACTTAACTACAACATATGGATACAAACATTGTCCTTAACCCGCTGAACTTTCAATATAAGGGTTATTCGAGGAGCAAAGTAATCAGAAACCGTTTAAAACCTGCTACTAGCCGGGTTTCAACTGGGGTCTTCAGCACAAGAATACCGACATGAGATAATATTCGAATAGGAAGAATCATAATAATTATATGATTCCTTCTTTTTGAATAAAAGCTCAATTAATTTGCTTGTGTTTTGGTAGTTGCATGGAAATATTGTTCCTTTTATTATAAAGGTAATTTCCATCATTTTAAATTGCATTTTAGGTAATTTTTACATTGTAGAGTATCAGCCTGTAAGTGTGCTTTTATGTTAATTTGCTTTTACAATCAATAATCATGTATTAGGTATTTATGGTGAACATAATTTTCGACGCCATGCCAGACCATAATATAAATATACAAGTTTTCAATAAAACATTGCTCTAATCTGGAATACAGTCCACTCCACCTGATTTTTTTTACTAGATTTAAGGTGAGTGATTTTCATACCCAAGGTGCTCTATTTTTTTCACACCCCTGAAGAGCAGTTTAGGTGAGTGATGGTGTATGGGAGTGCAATCGCTTGCCTCAAATCACAAGCCCAGCACTTAAAATCTTCTTTCAACCAGATTTATATTTTAAAATATCAATTTTTATCAACTATAGAACTGCATCCATCCTCGGTAACACATTTAGCCAATCAATTGATTTTTTTTTTTTTTTGGTAGAATATGTTGCGCATGTTACAAAAATACATGATAATAAACTGTAATTGGAGTACTGCGTGGTACATCTTCACAAATATGATGAGAAAACAACTGTCTTTGTTGTTAAATATTGCACTGATAATTATGGTATAGCAGCAAATCACAATGCAATTGTTGCCATGTGCATTCATGGATAATAGAGATACAGTGTGTATCATTTTTCAAAGACCATTATAAATGCAAAGGTAAAATAAGTAAGAGCTACTAATAATAGAAGGATGGTGGTTGTTTACAATTTCAGATGCATTACCACGGCCAGTTGTGATTTGTATTGCCCATATGGTCAACAAATTGCATGTCATTCGTTACTGGATAAGGATGCATTAATTATGTCATGTCATAACATTAATTATGTCATGTCATAATTAGGTATCAACCACTTTTCAAATCAGATGCATCTTATTAAAGGTTAATAAATACTGAAATATATAATTATCCTTAGAAAATAATATTAAGGACTCATAGAGCTTTGGCAATATATATTTTCGTAAAAAAACATACCCTTCCATATACCATTATTGAAGTTATTATTGTTATTAATAACATGTTTGTTTAATCCCTTACAGGCTACTTCTAGCGAATCTATCAATGATGTTGAAGAAACAAAAAGGTAAGACAGAGTATTATGACAGATTAATGATTATTCATAATTTGTTTTTTATATACTTACATGCATTAAATATATTCTTATTCTGAATGAGAAAGGATATAATTTTGATATTAATATTATTATTCTTATTTTTACTTGTTTTTTTTTTAAATAATTATAATATATTAATGTTTTCTAGTCCAGAGTTTTGTTATTCTAAAAAGTAGATTATTATTTTGAAATAAAGCATTAAATGGTTATTATTCTAAAATTACTGTTTTATTCTTATTTTTATTTATTTTCTAAAAAAATAATAATTATAATTATATAAATTATAATTATATTATTATTATTATTAATATTTTTCAGGAACAGATGTATTTAATTCCCAAAATTTATCATATTCATTTTAATTATTTAATTTCTTGAATAGTGCAATTGAGAGACAGAGGCCTGTAGCCAGTGTGTGCTGGCAGGATGGCCTGATGTGAAGATTCTCTCCACAGCCACACAATGCATGGTGACAGGTGTGGTACCCCTCAAATGATCATATTTGACCTGTTATACTCCTAAATTTTTGCCCACCAGAACCAGAACCTCGACTATTTCTATATGCATATCGCCAAGTAAAGATCGTGTCATATCAAATAGAAAAACAAAAGTGGATGGTGGTTTTGTCTTTAGTTCTGATTCTGGCAGTTCAGCTACTAATGATTCTGTATTGAAAAAAGATAATAACCTAAAGCCTATTCTTTAAAGTGAACATGGTTGACCTGTGACACAGAAGAGCTCATCCTCCGTTAGTTCATCCGTTGTTTGTCTTGCTGCTGGGTGACCAAAACACCTTCCCCTCAGCAGCCAATGTCTGAGGGAGTTGGACCCGATGCAGTTTTTGTCTTGAAGAACACATTCTCGTAAAACTATATTTATCATTGGACACCACCTTGGTATTTCAAAATTTTAAAAAAATTATTTTGGCTAGTAGAGTGTCAACAAAAGTGTTGATGAAGTCAGGGTTTCAATCCTTTGCTGTGTGTTTGGCTTTCCTTGAGCAAAGCACTTTATCTGCATTGCTTCTCTCCCCAGCAGCAACACTTAAGCATGTGGACCGCTGCGGAAAATCGCTTCATATATAAAAAGAAAGATTAAATCTTCTAAACTAAATTTTTAATTTCCCTAATGTTGATGTCCTTTCTTGGTACGGTACCCTGCTTTTTCTTTTACTTGTTTTGTAGCTGTAGTTGTTGTAATTGTATCATTTATAATGTTTTAACGAGAATTTTAAATGTTTCATATTTATATTTTGTATATTACTATTAATCTTTCTGTACATTTCAAATTTTCCTTAAGTTTGCAAATAAAATTATTTTGAATCTAAACCATATTTAAGGGAAAAAAATCTGATTGAATGAACAACACAAAAAACTGTGTCTTATAGAGGATTTTACGAAAACTTGCATTCCATTTATTGTTTGTTTATATATCTTTTTTAATCACTTTGTATTTTAATTCATTAATGAACATAAAAATGAACATGAAACAAATTTGTAAAAAATCTAAAACATTATAATGGAAAAAACAGATAAAAATTCAAATAGCACCTGTCTCTTATACACATCTTTACTGTTTTATTCTTATTTTTATTTATTTTCTAAAAAAATAATAATTATAATTATATAAATTATAATTATATTATTATTATTATTAATATTTTTCAGGAACAGATGTATTTAATTCCCAAAATTTATCATATTCATTTTAATTATTTAATTTCTTGAATAGTGCAATTGAGAGACAGAGGCCTGTAGCCAGTGTGTGCTGGCAGGATGGCCTGATGTGAAGATTAGTTCATGTATGGGAAAAGGGCCCAGAGGCTTACTTTCTCACAAACTTAGCAGTAAATGTTCTGAATTGAGTTACTTCAAAGAAGTATTGTAAATCAAATATTGTTTTTAAAGTAAACTGAATAATTAGGAATAGGCCTACATTTATTTAAGCAACTTATTTAATTGCATACTTGGATTTTACTCCCCGCCAACTAAATTTAAGTGCCTAAAACTATACTAAATAATGTAAACTGAGATACTATATATACATATGTAAATATGGCAATTATGCTAAGAATTAAAATGGCGTGTAATTGTGAGGGTAGGGTAATTATGGTAGGATTAAATGGTATTTCTAAATCCCACAAACCTCCCAAAACACACTGTAGAAAACCAAACAATTCAATTTTGATTGACACACTTGGTAAATCAATAAGAAAATTAAATATTCATAAGCACCTATTTTTTGGTTAAAATATTGATTTTTTTTTGGTGAAAAAATACTTGCAAATACACCACAAACCTCCAAACACACTGCGAACCCCATCCAAACCCTTTAATTACGATTGTAGAACTCTCTTTTTCTAAAAAAAAAAATAATAATAATTTGATGTTCATGGCTTTTTTTTTATCTTTGAATATTTTATCATTGAATATGATACCGGTGCCCTCACGATGCTTAATATAGATCGTTTGACACGTAAAATAAATCTAAGTAAATCTTAAAAGAAAACACGAAAGCCAAAACGTAGGTCGCCTAAGCTAGCCTAGGCCAGGCTGCAGTGACAGAACAGAACATGAGAGAATTTCCATGTGTGTTGTTTTTGCGGTTACCGTTGGGTGCGCATGCGTCTTACTCTCTAGTGGTTATTGCAAAACATGGGCTCATTCGACTGGTTCATTTCGTTGGAACGAATTTTCGTTGAGTATTATTTTCATTCGACTGGTTCGTTAAATCATGGAGGTATACCTATACCTCCATGGTTAAATGGACTTCGCTGACAACGAAAAATAACGTAAACCAGAGTATGGTAATCAGCGTTATCCACGTGAGCCGATTGGTGATTTTTTATTAACATATGCGTTAATATAACTTAGATTAAATTTCATAAAATAAACATTATAATATTTACCCACATGGAGTCAAAAAATTATTGTAGGCAAACAGAATAAAAAAAAATTGATGAAAATATTTTTTTACGAAAAACCCATACAACCACAAGTTAAAACAATCTTGATTACGCAACGTGTATCGCGGTAACTATACAGCCATTTTGTTTTGTCGAGTATTTACAAGTTTTCTATTGTCGTCTTCGTTGAGTAGGATATGTTACCGCTGCGCAGGTGGGCGTGGTTTAACGAAGAACGATTAGTCGAATACGGCCTTTGTATACAGTGTGCTAGACTGGGTTTCAGTCCCTAATCTTTGTCTTTAAATCTATTTTGACACCAATGGCGTCCCATATTACATATTTGCTTGGCGTTTCATAGTATACTTTTTCTTGGATTCGCATAAAAGTTTCTCGATATATACCGTCGCTGGTGGCGCTCTCCAAAATTAACTTATACTATGAAAACCTATAATTAGAGACTTGTGGCAAGTCTAACAGTGTGCTTGCTGCACAGCTAACTTTGGGCGATCTTACGTCATCGCAGCTTTCGCGGCCAGTTTGGAATTGGCTTCCTCTCCGATGACGACGGACTGAGCAACAACACAAAGATATCGAACTTCTTGAAATTTGACTGTTTTGTACGATCGCCGGCCGCCGCAGTATATTCCAACATTGAATCGATAATTAATAGTTAATACTCTAAACAAAGTCATATGACCATTGACAACTATGGCTTGGCTAGGCCTAGCTTGGCTTGGTCTAGCCGAAATTGGTCTAGGCCTAGCTTGGCTTGGTCTAGGCCTAGCTTGCCTAGCCTGGCTACGACGAATCAAGGCAGTCGCGAGAAATTAGTACTGAGGCTAAATCAAATTTTGCCTTGGGTGCCCTTTTATACTTGAAATTTTGGCCTTGGTGCCTTTCCATTTGGCCCTGGTGCCTTTCAAACTCATGTCATACCGCAGGCCATTTGGCCTGCCCATAAAATCCCCAAATTCGAGGCCTGCACTGTCATTTGGGGCCATTTTTTCCTGGGTCATTTTTCCGGGGAAATTCTTACCATACCCCCGAAAACAACCACCCACTGTTAACGTGAGAGGTAAATGGCTAAGAAAGCTTATACAATTGTTCAAAATAGTGTTTATTTATCCTAGCATTCTCCTTGGATTGTATGCTTCGTAATTGAAGTGATCATCACCATCCTATTTGGGTTCTTTACTAGATTTAGGGTGAGTGATTTTCATACCAAAAGTGCTCTATTTTTTTCACATCCCTGAAGAGGAGTATAGGTGAGTGATAGTGTGGTCCCTATACAGAATTTTTTTAGTAGACATAGATAGTTTGTAGTAGACAAAGTCTATTTTTTTTAGACGATAATAGGCTGTTAATAGATTTTTCATGTCTACTAAGGATTTCCTCCTTTAGTACTACCTTAGTAGTAACTTAGTAAGCTTTGTCTACAGATGATAGATCACAAATAGTTTATTAATAGTTTATACATATCTATTTATTACCGTAGTTGGTATTTATTATAGATGGGCATAACAAAGGGTTGGCAATAGTAATATATCTATTTATGTGCTAAATAGTTGTTATCAATTTATAATTTTAAGTTCATAATTTTATAAGTAGGTTTGTGTCTAGCTATTTAAGAAGATATTATGTAGACCCAATAATTAAATAAAATTAACATATTATTAGCAGATTCTAATTAGTTTTTGTCAATCTATTAAGGGGACTGATAGAAATATTTTTACTTTATAAATAGACCACTGATAGGTAGATGGTAATATAGTTTAATAATAGTGATTGTTTTTGAAAACCTCAGCGAAATATGCTAGTGAGGCGAAAAACTACTAAAATCTACTGAAAACCTACATATTAGTAGGCGTTTAATAGTCAGTAGGGCTAAATCTACTAAGTGCCATATGGCTAAATCTACTAAAAATGAGCAATGTCTACTAAGGAATTTCGGTATGAGGGAGTGCAATCGCTTGCCTCAAATCACAAGCCAGCACCTAAAAACTTTGTTCAACCAGATTTCTATTTTAAACTATCAATTTTTATCAACTATCCAAAAAAACTACATCCATCCACAATAACACAGTTAGCCAATCAAGCCTTGATTTTGTTTTGGGAGAATATGTTGCGCAGTATGGTATGGTACTGTACGTCTTCACAAATATGAGGAGAAAGCAAAAATCTTTACTGTACAAAGTTGCACTGATAATTATGGTATAGTTAGCAAATCACACATAGGGCGATAGTTACCATTAGCTGGTATCATTTCTCAGCGACCATTGAAAAAATGCAGGGTAAAACTAAAATAAATAAGAATGATGCTAGTTATATTGTTTACAATTTCTATTTGCAAAACCAGTTGAGATTTGTATTCAACTTTGGTCAACAAACTGCATGTCACTCTGTTCCGTCGCTCCATTACCGGAAAGATGCATTATTTATGTCGTATCATTAATATGTATCAACCACTTTTCAAATCAAAGGTAGCTCAATAAAGGTTTATGAATACTGAAATATATAATTATCCTTAGAAACTTATTTAAAGAATTCGTAGAGCTTTGGCAATATCTATTTTGGTAAAAAAAAAACCATGTCAATTTTGCGTCACTGTTACTGAAGTTACAATTATTCATATTTCATATTTCTGATGGATAATTTTTGTAAGGTACATATTTTTAGAAAGAAAGTAGTAGTAGTAATAGACACTTGGTAAGGTGTTTGTTGGTTGAGAATATATTTTCTGTACATCTGTTTAAAAGTTTAAATTACTGTATTGGAAATGTCCTTTAATAATTGTTTCCGTGACAGGAATTGAACCCATGACCCTGGGATAGCAAAGCAAGTATCTTTCTACCAAGATTTCCAGGTTCACTAATTATTTATTATTAATGATGATGATAATAATCTTGGGAGAAGATTTTGATGTCATTTGTTGTGAACAATTTAATGTGGCTAATATTTCATTTTTAGTATATACATTCTCTGTGTGAGGTCTTATTAGCAACAAGCAAAAAACAGTTATCATGGATTTAAAGAATTTCTAACTAGCAGTTAATTTAGATTCACTGTACTGTACCCTTTCATTACCATTATTATTATTGTCCTTTACACTAGCTTACTTCTAGTGAGTCCATCAATGATGTTAAAAAAATAGACAGAGTATATGACAGATTAATGATAATTTATTGTTTTCTTTTTATTTACTAATACATGCATTAAATAGATTCTTATTTTGAAATGAGCATTAAAGGATATTATTTTAATATTATTACTATTTTTATTTTATTTTATGTATTTACTATACATGTATTTACTAATACATGCATTAAATAGATTCTTATTTTGAAATGAGTATTAAAGGATATTATTTTAATATTATTACTATTTTTATTTTATTTAAAAAAAATAATATTAATGTTTTCAGTAACAGATTGTTTATTCCCAAAATTTATCATATTCATTTTAATTATTTATTTTGTTAAATAGTGGTTTGCGAGACAAGGCCTGTAGCCATTGTGTGATGACAGGATGTGTGGCCTGTAGATCTGAAGATTCTCTCCACAGCCACGTAACATGCACAGTGATAGGTATGGTACCCCTCAAATTATCAACATTTGACCTCCACTTATGCATAGCACCAAAATGTGTGTGATATCAAATAGAAAAACAAAGTGCATGGTGGTTTGTTCTCATATTTTCATATATCATTCATTTTGCCTTAACATAAAAGCAATACTGAAATACAAGAAGTACAGTAAAGCTGCAAGGCAGGTTTGCTGAAATGTTATAAAATAAATAACAGTCAAAGTCTTTTAAACCACGTAAAGAGAAAGCCGTCTAATTTTAAACGAGGAACATAAGGAACTCATTCCATTTATTGTTTGTTTATATCTTGTGTTCTTAATTCTAATTTTATTATTCTTAAATGACGAAAAATCGCCAAAATTATATTTCTTAAATACCGAAATAATATAATGTAAAATATGTTGGTATAACGATAACGATGCATTAATTACTGCACAGTAGTAAACACTTTTCCACTGTAGTTATAAAGCAGCAGACAAAGCCCACCTGGCTATTGACCTTTAACCTGATAGTGAGCTACTCAAACTGAAGCAAATGTCCTGTGACCGGCTGTAATAATAAAGCATGTTTATACTTCAGACATAGCCTGATACTGAATACATCATAATCAATACAATTATCATCAGCATTATCCTCATCATATTTTTATATATTATTTTCATCATTAATCACCATCATTAAAGCCAGGTTCCAGATACGAAAAAATTATTGATATGTTAATTGTACAACTGCTTTTTCTGACACAAAAAAGCTGTTTAAAGAGAAACAGTGAAAATAGGTGCTTATACACCTTTTTTGTATCTGAGAAAAATCAGTTGTACAAATTATCAAAACATTTTTTTCGTTAATACGGAGCCTGCTTTTAGCATAATCATCTTCATCTTTATCATCATTATTATACTTATAATCATTATCATCATTATTATTATCATTATCATTTATTATTAACATCCTCAGTACAGGTCAGCAAATGTTTAATTAAATAGTTAAGCTCTGTCCAGATTATTGGAAAAAAATCTGTTGTCATGATGTGATGATTATAATGATAATAATAATAATAATAATAATAATAATAATAATGATAATAATTAATTACATAATCATCATTTTAATACCAGTAACATTTTTATCATTTTTTAATTTAACCTCAGATCAGTACATATCAGCAAATGTCTAATTAAATGGTTAGATTATTAATAATACAAATAAAATGCTAAGGATTTATATAGCGCCAAATCCAAATCAGTGGTCAAAGACGCTGTGCACCCATCTTGATTAATTATGATTTAATTATTTTTGAATTAGATTCTCAGTACTGAACGTCAATGATGCAGACTGTGACCATCATCGGAAGAGCAGCAGTCCTGTAATGATCCAAATGGGCAACACCTAGCTGGCTGGGGGTCATGACCCCCACTACATAACTAAAAAGACAAATCAAATGAAGCTTAGTCACACACCGGATTGGAAGCAATGTTTACAAGGGCGCCCTCGGTCATCAAAGTCTGTTACAGAAAAGTAAATGTCATTTAGTCTTTATAAATTGCACAGATAGAAATTTTGAAATAGTAATGTAATCATTTAAAACAACAAAAAATTGGTTTAGCAACATAGTACAGTATATTGTATAGCTAGTATAAAAATGTGTTGAATTGTTTTATTTTCACAGAAAGCAGCTGAAAATTAGAAACATTAATTCAGCTCGTCCATGACTAGAACATGTTGCTAGTAAGTGAAAACAATTTTTTCTAGACATACTGCCTGTGTTATAATGACAAATTTAAGGAAATGAAAGTTAGTGTAACACACAGCCTTTCCCTTTAATGCCCTCTCCAATTAAATACCAATTTGTTGAGACCAGTATATCTGTCTCTTATACACATCTAGATGTGTATATTTGATGATTATTTTTCAGATCGTCATTTAGTTCCATCTCCTGCTTCATCGATGTACTCCTTGAATGATGCCTGTTCATCGTACGAGCAAAGTTGTTTACACCAAGCTCCCCAACACAACATCAATACTCAACGAGTGACAACACATCCATCCTATCAAGGCCAAGCCTGTCCACCATCACCTTTCAATATGACAGTAAAGTAAATGTTTTTGCTCAATAATTTCTTCTTTTTTTTTCTAATTTTTACGAAACTTTTTACATACTTTGTTAAAAGCGTGGCTCATCATTCCCTATCTAGAGAATTATAACATTTATTATATTTAATTTAATATTTTCATATTTATAATAAAACCCAATTTTATCTTAAGCTACAGTTCTTTAACAGAGCTCAGATATTTAAGTTTTGAAGTTTATTTATTTGATCTAAATAACGTAAAACCTCAAATTGAAGCCCTGGGCTTCTTTTACTTTAGTGAACTTTTGATGGGCTTCATTTTTAAGCTACTTTTGCAAAGTAAAGATGGGGCTTCTTTTCAAAATGAATGCTGTAAATTTTGGGAATTACTTCTATATGACAATAAATAGGGCCACTTTAACATCAATCTGTATCATGCAGTGTATTAACCGACGTCTTTTTAATTTAATTCTTTTTCTTTGAAATTCATGTACAGTGTATGTACTGCACTATCTCAAAAAAAGAAAAAGCCGCCTTGCTAAATTGAAAAGAAGCCCATGGTCGTCTTTTCGAGATGGGTTTCTTTTCGAGGCTACTTTTGCAAACTAAAGAGGGGGCTTCAATTTGAGATGGGCTTCTTCTCAAGATTAAGCCCATTGGGCTTCTACTCGAGGTTTTGTGGTATATCAATACTAATTTTTTCAATTATTGTACCACGAGACTCATTTTGTCATGACAGCTCACATATTCTTGGCAAAGTCTTATAAATTTTGCTGGTAATCAATACAAAATATTTTACTATAATTTTTGGTAAAAAAGTATAACTAAATCAGCAAAGACGGAATGATTTCAATTTGTATCTCATTGGAAAAAATGACCATTTATTATGCAATTCTTTGTTTTTATTTAACATAATTTTAACAAATTATATAAGCACATCATGACTATATATGGGCACATCATGACTATATATGTGCACATCATGACTATATATGGGCACATCATGACTATATATGGGCACATCATGACTATATATGGGCACATAACTATATATGGGCACATCATTACTATATATGGGCACCTCATGACTATATATGGGCATATCATGACTATATATGGGCACATCATGACTATGGGCATAGAAATATTTTGTCAAATGAAATTTGATAGTGTGTGAGGTAAATTGCCACCGATTATTACAATTATTACAACCAAGCAGTACTTGGTAAAGACAAACTTGATATCTTGCTTTGAACAATATCACATATTTTTGGATCCACACAAGGCACTGACCCCAGAGCAACACTGCTGTTCTTGTTCTTGTACTTGTACTTGTTACCAACGCAAAACTTCAAAAGCGTCCAGCGTCGCTAGTTTTGAATGAAAACAAAACTTTTTTGTACACAAACTAAAGGTGATTTAAAAAAAAAAAAAAAAAAAATGGTCATCGCTCTTTTTTTAAGTTGGACCTCGGGGTTCCCCACACACTTACAAAACAAAATAGGGGTTTGAGCAAGGACTGTACATTACTGCCATTACCACTAATAGTGCCCGTTGCATGGATGGCTCGGTCGGTTTTTAAGGATGTGTTCTAATGAACTTGTGTTGTGAGTTCGAATTGCATCTTGATATTCAGTTATAATTTTTTCCAATTTTAATAAATTTTATTTTTTTCAATTTTAAAAATATTTTGATTTTGTATTAATTAAACATTCTAAATAATATTTTTTTGTTATTAGCTCTTCAAAAAAAAACCTCAATGTAATAACTTGCGCCTCTACCGTATTTAAGCGTGGAGGAATGCGCGGACGAGTGAGCAGTTGCTGTTGTTTATTGTTGGTTGTTTTATTGTTGTTAATTTGTATGTTGTTGGGGAGATTTATTTTTTCTCTATAGTAATGCTTTATTGAGTTTTGACAGTTCTTGTAAATTTTACCTAATACTTTTTAAATTTAAACAGATTAAATTTTTGTGTTTTTTGATCATGGCATAAATAGGAAGAATTTGAAAAATCTACAATTGCAAATTCGATAACTAATTTGTTGTTTTGGCCCTATTGTAGTTTACCTAAATATATTTCATTTCTTTTTGTAATTTACTGTGAGAATTTTATCTGTTTCATCTGATTTTTTATGTGAATGCACTATGTATGTGCATGTTCCATCGATATAAAGTGTTTTTTTATTAATAATAATTATTGTTATATATTGTACAAAAGAATTTTTTTTTTAGATAGCCCACGTCAGTCATTGAACTTCAAATCAGATGTTTTTAAAATCAATTTTACTGAATATGGTTTTATTGAATAATTCATTAGACTGAATTTCCGAGAAGGTATAAATGACAAAGTATTTATCTATTCATGTTTATTAATCTCTTTCCTGATTAGAATTTCTTCTTGCCATTGCTCAAGCTTAGATCATGCTTAGACTATGTACTATAGATAACTAAACCTAGGTTTTGCGACCCAATCTTGGGTCGCAAAAACATTAAAGGTCTCGAGACTGCTGCTGACGTAGTAAAGCATATTTTTCGAAATATAGTGAAAAATACTTCTAAACAGCCGTAATACAAATGACTTAAAAATAGGTAGCTACGAAGATGAGAAAATTCATTGTCAACCCAAATCCTAGAAGAATCTACGCCCATTGTTGCACTGTACGTCGCCAATTTCTTCAGGGATTGATAAGAACATTAAAATTTATTTGACAGGAACATAGCTCACTAATAACACGACGTGCCAGTCAACAAGTAATAGTTACACCGTGTTTAAAATGAGTTAATGCTATTCTTTTTTTTTAATTCGTTGGGGACGTGCAAGCTTCATCATATTTTTCAATTAGTCTTTACCCAGTTAACCTCGTCTAATCCGACTGCGTAGGTCGAAAATTCGCCATTGTGTTATTAAACTTTTGCATTAATAAACATTTCAAAATTACGAGTGTCGAATTATAATAGCATAGATTTTCCATAAAGAAAATTAAAAAAAACACTGGAAAAACAAAAACAAGTCAATATGTAAGAAAACAGAAGCATTATGATTTCATTCGGCCCTTTTTAAACCCTGAATTTAATTATATCTTGTTTCACAATTCTAATCTTTTAATGTTCTTGTTTTATGTCGTTTCCTTTTCTTTGACACTGGGTAAAATAACGCATAGAGCTCAGACATAGCACAGTATTATGCGCTCTAGAATTGGAAGACCATTACCATTATTGAGCTTGTGGCAAGTAATAGGCCTAAGTTAAGCTGCATTCACACTGGATCTGCCGACATTTGGACCGCGTTTCCGATGCGCTGAACGCTAGCGTTCCTTAATCCTTAGGATACTAATCCGACTTCTGATCGGTTTGGTATGCAGTGCAGCTTAATCAACACATAACATGAGAATAGCATTGTGGTATGACAATTATAATTTCTTGGGTTGCCAAAAAGAGGGCGTATGAAAGTGGGTCGCCACCTAAAAATAGACGCTTTGTGAGCTCATTACAAATACTTTGTTTTTGCGATAGTGTTTCATTGTGTGGAGAAACTGAAATTCGGTATTACATACTATATCAGATACTAATCCAATACTCGAGTTTATAGCTAACGATTGTGTGCAGAACAATCAAGTTCCTATATTAGTGTTTCAGCTTAAGGGCCTACGTATTAAAGAATTGCCACTGTCTTTAAGACTAACTTTATACCATGTGTCCCGTGTGCAACAGTGTCCGTGTATTATGTGAAAACGAAGGATGTGGTATAGTCAGTAGGTGGACAAACCATCACCTTTATCCTATGTTATATTATTACTGTATATCTTAACCTAAAAATTCATATTTATCACTACACTTGGGGTTGTCACTGTCACAAATACTCAGATACTTGAGGTCAGTGATGCTCACAGAAATCGTCTGTATTTTGCAGGAGTGAAAAATCATTTTTTTTTCAGTGAGTTGAATCTTATAGGCCTACAAATTGTATGTACAAATTGTGTTTTGATTAAAATGTTTTCTTTGCTTCTGTTTTTTCATCATTTTTTCTATTTATATTTTAAATGTAATATCTAATAATTCATTTACAGTAAGTCCGCACTGTTATAAATATAATGTAAAATAAATAAATATATTAACAGAATTATGTTATTTACTGTAATACAGTATCAAAAAGTAGTGCATGCAATTTAAGCTATATTTATATATATGTTAAACCGGCAGTGTTATATAAAAATTAATTAATACAATTGTAACATAGCAGTGTTGATATCACATGTATTTTATTCTAGAATATTCTAGTATCAAATTGTGTTGCTCCCTTCTTTATATAATGTTTAAGCCTGCACTGTTATAAAATATAATAATAATGCAACAAATGATTATAGTAATACTATACCTATACAATATACATCAAACCAGATGTTTGTAACATCACATGCAATATTGTTTTGTAATGGTTGCTGTGGTTAAGCTTGCACCGTTATAAATATAACAACAAATAAATATTGTATACATATATTAATGACTATAATAACCAAGTACCGATAAGTTACGATTGATTTAAATTCAGACAGTTTCTTAAAATTAAGCCATTTATGTAGGCTTACCACAACCTACCACATGTAAACAAAACAACAATAATTATTATACTTATACTATTGCTATTAAAATACATTGGGAAGTAGTGTGTATCACTCGTAAAAAATACCACACAATAATTAGAGTAACCTGAGGGGCATTGTTGTCACATGTAAATGAACAACTAAGAATTAAAGTAGCTTGGGAGAGATCGTATATTTTCAATTCAATTTCTTTTATTGCTGCAAAATGCCATTTTGCAACAATATCTTTACATCCGTTACCCATGTGCACTGTAATTAAGGTGTTCATGTAATATGATTTTTATAGTGTGTATTTCGATTTGTAACCAATTTCCTTCCTGTTATTCCAATTGTATATTCTTTTATACGACGCACTACTTGCCGGTTTTTGAGTTCCTTAAAATGACAATTGTAACTACATTATTGCTACCTTTAAAAAGCATCTGGATCTAATACCTGTAATAGGCCTATATTCAACGTTGTTTTATTCTTTTGTTGATCCAGGAATTTTAATTTAAACGTTTACTTACTGAACGTCGTGTCGGTAAACATTCCAGTATAAATTAATTTTTAAAAAAAACAAAAAAAAAAAACAAAAAAAACAAAAAAACCAGTACATTTCACTATTTTAATATAATAATAATCTTTGTAATTTGCATTTTGCGATTCCTTATATTAAGTTAAAGCAATGAATCAATTTTTCTTATTTACATTTTGTCGAATGTTTGTATATTGTTTATGTCATCCTTACTACAAGCATGGTGCCTTTTAGGTGATGCCGCCATGTTCCCTGTGTTTTTATTTTTTGAAATGGAAATAAATGTTGTTGAATCTGAATCTGAGTAATATGCAATTTTTTTTATACAGTT